TAAATTATGGACGGTTAGCGCAGATAGCCCTCGTGTAGCTTTGCGCGAAATTAAAAAAAGAAAAGAAAGAAATAAAGAAAGGTTACTAGTATCAATGGGTAAGTTGTTGTTGTTTCTTACTAAAGACAAAGCTACACAAAGAGCAATCTATGTTCTGCCCACCACGTGCATCTAAACCCGGTTTCTAGCAGTACAAGGCCGCAGACATACCAATGTGCCACTGGGGGGGGGCAATGGGTAAGATATTTTGTTAAACATTAACATAATAAATTTATCTGCTGGTTACTGTTATTGGTGAGTAAGGTTCTACATTAAACCTTAAAATTCTTAATTTATCTGCCTTTAGTGTATGTTAGAGGTTGATGTAAATGTCAAGATTGAAAATGTTTGTTTTTAACGTATAACCTAAATATAGTCACCAAGAGTTCAACAAAAGCTGTTTCTCAAGTCATGTCAACAAGCAATGAATTTTCGTTATTATTATTCATTTCCACAGTTGGCATCCAATTGGCGTCGATAGTTGCCTCGTTGTTCGAGCTATCCTGGTCCTTGGCATCATACCACCGGGCTTTACGGCAGTCAGTGGAGAACAAACGGAATATGACTTGGAGCGGAATGAGTGTTCAGTTTCTGTGGCGGTACTGCACCACGGCGGCCAGGGTGCTGTCCTTGGCGTTATTTGCTTCCGAATATGGGTACTGGATGTTTCCAGTCTGTATCGGGCACTGGGGCATCATGACAGTGTGGGTGATGCACCAACAAACCAGCTTCTGTGATTCGGAGACTGGAGAGAAGCGCCAGTGTGAAGAGTACTTGTTTAACATGGCGATTGGAGCAGTCTACCTGTTTTGTTTCCTGAACGTAAAGGACGAACCCACTCGTCTCAAGTACCTAGCCTACTACATCATCGTATTCATTGAGAACTCATTAATGATTATCTTGTGGTACCTTCGAACAGATCCAAGCGTGTGGTACCACCTGCCTGCCCTAATTTGTGTTTTCCTCAGCTTCAGTTTAGGCATCACTTTCATGCTGCTCTTCTACCGTTTTTGCCATCCTGAAACCAACATTCCTTATAGGAATCGCCCTGCAACTTGTTGCTAAGCCTTGTCTTCAGTCAGTTATCCCAGCTGAGACATTGGTAAAAGTGGCCATTGCTTGTGATATTGGCTCTTACAGCCGTTTGCAGAATGTGCACGTTTACTTACTATTGTTGTTGTTTGTGCATCCATAATAAATATGCTTTAACTCGGATATTTTATTTGACTATGCTGCGTTACACGATTCCATACAGTTACCTATTGCTGTAACTCAGTTGTTGTGTGTGACACAGTTTCCTACATCTGTAGCTCACATACTGTAAAGGATAGTTTTTTAAATTGTCTCAAATGTTGAATTTCATGTATTAGTCTTTGACTCAGTTGACATATATGACTCAGCTACTTACATCCATGTTTGTCACAGTGACCAATGCAGTTAATTATAGCCGTCTCTCAGTATCTTAATGTGATACATTTACATCCGTTATACAGTATATATATCACACAACTGTTATGGCACAGTTTCCTCCAGTATAACTCAGTTTTATGTAAAAGTTTTATGTTCTACAGATGAAAGATATTGCACTGTTTGTCACAGGAGGGAACCAATTGTTGGAAAGTGATTCAATTTCCTATTTAGCTGAGACCTAATTGTTGTATACATGACACAGTTTTTTTAAATAGTGATTCAGTTTGCTACTTAGCTTATCTGTGCCCCAGTACTTGTATACATAACAGTTTTGTTGCACAGTGATTCAGTTTCCTACTTAGCTGTGACCCATTTGTTGTCTACGTGACACAGTTTTGTTGAACAGTGATCAGCTTTCTACTTAGCTGTGACTCAACTGTTGTACATAAAACAAAATGTTTGTAGAATACTTAGTTTGCTACGTTAGACAACATATCTGTAAGTTGGTTACTTTGGTTGTTACAAGCCATTTGTTTTGTAAAGTAGTTTTTCCACTAGTATCTACTCTGTGTAACACAATTTTCACAGGTCTGAAAACAAAAGAATACAAGTGCCAATAGTTAGCTGACTGCGACGCAGTTTACTCCATAGTGTGAACCACCACGTAAATGTGACGCAGTTTACTCCATAATGCGAACCACTGATCGTTTGTGACGCAATTTACTCCGTAATGTGTATTACCACCTGAATACGACTCAGTTACTCCCCAACCTTGATACATCACCTGATTTTGACACAGCTTAATACCCAACTTTTACACACCACTTGAATGCGACATGGTTTTCTCCCCAACCTTGATACACCACCTAACAAGTGACACCAGTTTACTCCCCAGCCTTGATACACCACCTAACAAGTGACACCAGTTTACTCCCCAGCCTTGATACACCACCTAACAAGTGACACCAGTTTACTCCCCAACCTTGATACACCACCTAACAAGTGACACCAGTTTACTCCCCAGCCTTGATACACCACCTAACAAGTGACACCAGTTTACTTGTGTTAGTCTGAACTAAAGTAGGAATATTTTTTTCTAATTTTAAGTATGTCAGTTTTGTAGTTTGATGTTTTTGTTTCACTATTAGCATTGTTTGTAACATTAAAACTTCCTATATTACTGTAGCTAGCTGGGTTACGTATATATCGATCCCTACTTGTTTATATGCAAGTTAAACATTTTTTTCACATTTTTTGTTTCCTTTTTATTAGCTATATTTTAGTGCGCCAACAATACCATACGTGGGGCTCGCATATACTCGATTCGATTTTATTACTCATCAGGATCCCTACCAACCTACCTTAAAATCTAATTATATGCCCGTAATAATGCGTCGTCCGTTTTTTATATATAAATATGATATCATTCTTTTCAGTACCAGAAATTAATCACTGGGACCCTAAAATGAAGAGTTTTGTGAATGAATTAGAGCAATAAAGTTCGTCATTTTTTGTACACTTGTCTGGAAAAGTCACTTACTTACTTACTTGGATGAAATTCGTTAAAATATTGAAAGTTTGATTCACTCTATAAACACGTATATAGCGATTTAGGTGGCTATTTATGTACAATAAGCTTTAGTTTTGCTCCGCCAATACTGTGAAATAACCATTGTTAGTATTCAGACATTTTAAAGGTGGTTTTAAAATGGCGATTTTTATGGCCACCATTTTGTTTCATCATGATCCCTATTAAGTTCTACCGTACTTAATGATATTTTACTAAGTCACATAGAGCACAGACAACAATGCAATATTTATGGGTAGTAAAACTTAAACGAAAACTAATATAATTTTTTTGAAAAAAGGTTCATTGCCGTTCAATAAAACATTAGTTCTGCAACAAAGACAAGAGATTTAATACACATCAATGGTAGATAACAAAATAAATAAAAGCTATTTCTCATTGTTCCGGCTTTCTGTTTCTGAAATGCTTAAAACTAGTAAAATATATTTCTACGTTATTACAAACAAGGGAAATGATATAGAACATTAATGAATAACAACATCAAATCATTTTACTGTAATGATGTGTTGTGAAGCTATGTATTCATTGTTTAGATTGAGCGAAGAGTTTGTTTTGGGCAAATGTAAGTGTGCCAAAACCTCGATCTCTGGCCAGGCTGGCCTAATGATTAGTAGTGCTGGAATAAGTATGAGAAGATCCAAGGTTTTATACGTGATACACACACACATTGCACTTTCAGATGTGGGCGTGTTATTAAAGTGACAGCCAATCCTACAGGTGATAGATGAATTTGACTGGCGGCCCTTATCGTCATCAATAATTTAAAATTAGGAACCACTTTAACTTACCTCAAAGAGTCTTTGACCTGGCCGTGTGTCCCGTGTGCGTATAACGCACAGTTCAGGATGAAAATATCAACACGTCGATCACTACATCAAATTTACCGAAGAAGATTCTCCATTATACGTTATTCATCTTTAGAAGCCTAAAAGTTTTCATTGAGAGTGAGGGTGTTTTGGACAGTCATCTTTTATCTGGCAGACATAAACAATAATCAGATTTAATTTTGTGGATCTAATGCTGAATGTAAAACTTCTGCAGTTTAGCAACATTTATTTGTAAATAACTTCATTTAGATAATGAACTGAATCTGATTACAACTGTTTATTTTTTACTGGCTGTAAAGATCTGATTAGATCTGAGCAGTTACCCTTTATAGAACAAGTTAGTGTTTGTAACAGCCTGAGCAGCTTTGGATTTTTACCTTATACAAAATCGTTAGTTATTTATCGCTCGTCACAGTCTGAGAAGATCTGGACTGTTTATCTTGTAAAACAAAACATTATTTTTGCTTGTCATAGCATGAACGGATCTGAATGTTACCTTGCACAGAATAATTAGTTATTACTTTTAAAATGGTGTAGAATCAGTCGCAACTGCTTATAACTCTACAGTCTGTACAGTTATGTTGTACAGAATCAGTCATTGCTGCCTGTAAATTCTTGAGAAAATCTTGGCTATTAACTAGTACAATATGATCTTATTACTCCTTTTAGTAGTCTGTATTTAACATAATCTTTGAGCTAAAGTTGATACTTTATATTTTATACAGAATCAAAATTCTGTAAGTTTGTGTTTAACCTTTGTTATTATACGTGGATTACAAGTTTGGACTTTCTAGGAACAAAGTGTAAAATGTTTAATAAATGGCTGTGATAGACAATATTTCGATTTTGTATTCTTCATTTTGAAACACTATAGAAACACTGTTTGTAGTGAAACCATTCACCTAGTAACACATTCGCTTTTGTAAAACATGTGTAATATAGTTAAATATACAAATGAAAACTATAAACATACATTGAGACAAGTCGAAATCTTTATCCAATCCTATGTTTGTCTGTTTGTTTTGAATTTCGTGCAAAGCTACACGAGGGCTATCTGCACTAACCATCCCTAATTTAGCAATGAAATACTAGAGGGAAAGCAGCCAGTCATTACCACCCACTGCCAACTCTTGGGCTACTCTTTTACCAATGAATAGTGGGATTGACCATTACTTTATAACGTCCACACAGCTGAAAGGGCGAGCATGTCTGATGGGATGGGGATTCAAATCCGCGACCCTCAGATTGTGAGTCAAGTGCACTAATCACCTGGCCATGCCAGGCCAATCTTATGGAAGTACAGTAACATTCTTCTCCTATAGAAACACCATTCGTTTTTGTAAAACACACAAAATACACCTAGTGACACCATCCGCCTATAGAACTTTAGTAACAGCATCCACCTATAAAATTTGGTAACAGCATCTGCCCCAGCAATGCGCCCTCTGGTACCACTTCGTGAAACTGTGACTTCTAGCACCATGCTCTCTGTTGAGTAATACTTAACCTATTATGTCACGTGACATCTCCTATCAATGCACTATCTAGCAGCAGACAATTTCTGGTGGTCAAGTATCATGGCGTTAGACAACTTCCGCCTTTCTACTACTAGCGAGGCACCAATATAAAGAAGGTTAAGAGTCTCCCTGAAATCGATGCAAGCTCAATATTTCTGTTCTGTCTGTTAATTTTATTTTCAAAATCGGAAACCAAATGATTCTAAAGTTTAAGCAGGGCACGCTGTTTGAAGAAACAATCACTGAGGTTACATAATACTGGGTTAATTCTTTAAATGTGGCGAATAGTATAAGCTTTCTGATAATAATGTGTTCTTTGGGTATGGGGTTGAAATAATGTCATTTACCACTAAGAGAAAGAGGTGTTCTTTGGGTATGGGGTTAAAATAATGTCATTTACCAATAAGAGAAAGAGGTGTTCTTTGGGTATGGGGTTGAAATAATGTCATTTACCAATAAGAGAAAGAGGTGTTCTTTGGGTATGGGGTTGAAATAATGTCATTTACCAATAAGAGAAAGAGGTGTTCTTTGGGTATGGGGTTGAAATAATGTCATTTACCAATAAGAGAAAGAGGTGTTCTTTGGGTATGGGGTTGAAATAATGTCTAAAGCTCTCTGCGGTACACGCCACTGATTATTATCCAATAGCTAATATTGTGGTAAATGATGATAATTTATAAAGATGGTTTAATAAAAAACGAGTTGCTTATTGAGGATGTGAATATTTGTCCCACACATTCTACATATAAAAACTATATTTATCTAATCGCTAAACTGAAATAAACAAATACGTGCATATTTCCATTAAATGCATGCAACTTATAAAATCTTTCAGCCCTTCACTATTTCTGAAACTGTTCCATACAAAATAATAATAGTTTTTCGGTGT